TTTGTAGACCTTTTTTGGATCAAAATCTGAAAGTTGTGGTTTTTCACAATTCATGGGTGCTCTAGGAATGAAAACCCCTGTGAATTTCACGTGTCCACTGTAGTTAAAATTGCCTTACCTATTACTCCAATACTTAAGTCTATGAGATTAACCTACAGTGTGTATAATGTGCAAGTAAGCACTGCTTTATCAAAACAACCTGCAGCATGTACATTTTTCTACATCAGTGAAACTTTGATCTAAAATTATAATTGCCATAACCATTGCATACTCATGTTAAATGAAGTCCTCTGAAGAATGTACCTCATTAAGTTATTTTACCACACTAATGACAGTATAGTATGATTAAATGCTAGGTGGTCACCCCTTTAATATGTTTCAAGAGAAGAGCAATAATATAGATAACCCCAAAGGAAAAATGTTCTATCAGGTTGTGCACTAGTGAATGGGTCAGGAATGCTTTGTGTGATTTTATGGGGTTCCGTCACACTAACATCTAAATCAACTTTGATTGCTCTGGCTATGGACATTTCAGCTGTCCACCCACTTGCCATCTGCCCTACTGAAGTCCCACTCTGTGCCTTCAGGGTGGGAACATGTGCTCCCCCAACCCTCCCAGCTCACCACCGGAGGACCAGGGCAAATAGAATACGACCTCTACCACGCGATATGTTGCAAAAGTCAGGCTGGAGGCAAGTCCCTCAACATGGATCCCTCCTGCTCAGCAACCGGATTTCAGAAAAGATACAGTGGCTGTTTTGCGATTTTTTCTGCCCATCCCCTAAAGGACTGGAGAGAATGGAGTTAAATGGGATGCAGAAACCATTTGCTTTTCCGCCTTTTTCTGCTAATTCAGTTGCCAAAACAAAGACGACTTTATGGGTTTGTAGTGACATACAAGGAATTAAAAACAGAAGAAGGAAAGCCATAAGTGATTGTAAGACTCATCAGGGATAATCTCGATTTTTAAGAGCATAGAATAAATGGAAGAGGCTTCTGTCCCTACCCACACACCAAGGAATTCTCCAAGGCAACAGTATCCAAGAGGTAAGATTCACCAATAAGAAGCCAGCAACAGCAGTCCTGTGGACAGTCAGGTGGCAGCTGGAGACACAGGGAGAGGCCACATCTAGACAAGGCTGTAGCATGCAGGGAGAAGTCAAGCCTACATTGTGCTTCTACTTGCAAACATCTAATGCATTGAAAAGGCAACCATCCAGAATAAGCAGAAAGAAATGGTGGTCTTACTTTATACTTAAAATTTTTTGCTCCTTTAACTGACCCTCTGGTGTCTGCTTATAACCAAGGGTTGGTGCAGATAATTCCCTGGAGTACTGAGACTTTCTCACTGCACTGATAGCTCCACACAGTTCACAAGGGTTTTCCAGCCATTATCCTCATCTCCCCAGCATGGCAGTGTAAAATGATCCCAAAGCTGCTCGTTTGGAAACAGGCTCAGAGATGAAGTGACTTGCTCCAGGTCCCGTGGCCTCTAGCAACCTGTTACCAGAGTTTTAGAGCAAAAGCCACTGCCCACAGTTCTGACAGATCAGGATTGGCCATTTGTCCCAAAACACCAGACAAGGAGACAACAGTAATGAAGGGAAGGAAGGGGACTTTAACCAGCATGGCTATTCTGGGAGGACACATAAAGAGCTTCAAGATTCATCTGCCGGGGCTGACAGATATCTTGGGGTTTTATAGAAAAGGGGAACAATGACAAGAGTTGGGGATTTGCATAGCTGGCCCCCTAGGTGATCCTGGTCAAGCTATGGTCTGGCCAAGACTGGTTCTAGAGATTCTAGGAGAGCCATCACTATTTCAGCGGCAGCTCCCAGCATGAGGCAATGGGTCCTGTTTAGGGGAAGCCGGTCCTCACCATGGGGTAATTGCTCCCACTAGGTGGGTGGTGACTTCATCATGGGGTGGCCTGTGAGGCTCTGCTTTCCCTGGAATCAGAGCTGACTGCAGGTGTAGGACAATGACTGGAAACTTCTAGGCAGAGCCCCAGGAGTTCTAGAACTGGATGTGTAAACCTTGGCAATAGGATGTCCCTGAAAATGTAGTTATTCTTGGTGTCCTCTGTCTTGAAAGGGGGTAAAATTGGCTAGGAAAATTTAGGACTAATAAACCAAAAGGTTGAGTAATTAACATTCCTATGTGTAGAGCTGAGTAGGGATTTGACCCACAGTTTTTGGGTAATGAAGGATACAGATAAAAAATGAAGGCAGAGATGCCACACTTGGTCCCACTTTTGTTACACATCAGGCATCCGCACGCCCAGATTCTAAGTCCCTGTTCCAAACCTGGTACATCTCAACCACAGGGTGTATGTTCAGACTTAAACCTACCTATGATGCAGCTGACCTGCTTCTCGTGCCTAAGGGTGGAAGAATAGGCATCTAGCCCACCCGTGCCCATCAGGAACTCTGTTGTGGGTAGGAAACAAATAAACTATCACCAACTGACTCAGCAAATCTGAGCATGGTCATTATAGCAGCAACAACGTATGTCTAATATATGCTTGGAACAGAGGCTTTTTTGGTTGATTGAATCCTTGGAAATCTTACTTTAAAACTCTCCTATCCTCTATCCAACACTCTGTTTCCATATACCCTGACACTGGCGGCTGTTTTCAAGCTGATCAACATGTAGAGATCAGTCCGTTCACTTCTTACTCTTTGTTCCTCGGCCCTCACTCTCCACTCTACCTCTGTACAGAGAGACAAGGAACAATTTAAATTCACCTTTTAATTCCAGAGCCCAGCCCAGCCTGGGATGGTGTCTCCTGGCAGCCCTGCAGTGAGCAGAGGGAAAGGCACCCAGCACACCACACCTGTGGGGCCCAAATCATTGTCTACAGCTGTGGGGGGAACAGGGTGCTCTGCACGCCAGACTTGACTTTCTCACCTCTCCTTCCTCTGAACCTCCTCAGCACCCCACCATCCTCTCTTAAGGTTGCCTGTGAGAACCTTCTGGGTTCTCGCCTCTTGGCTTCATTAGCACTTCCCTTGGGTAACTTACCAGTGTGCTTCCTTGCTCTCCTGCGTCTTGTATTGTTGACTGGGTCCTGGGTCTTGGATCCTTATGCTCTTTCAGCATACACTAAGATATCAAAAAGGACCTGCTTCGTTTCCCTGCCTTTCCTCTAGACTATATCTGTCAACTGTAACTTTAGTAAAAAGAAAACAAAACCCACACTTTGTCAGACAGTCAGCAGGGGCAGTGTCACTCCCCATAGTGGAGGCACTGTGTAAAACTGGCCAAAGAGATGAGTCTGGACAGTGGCACTTCTCACACGTGTGACCTCTGGACTGACTGCTTAGCTCCAGGGAGTACCTGACCAGTGATGTTGAAAAACAGGTTGTCAGTGCCCAAACCAAATTGTTCTCTCCCTATTTTCTTTGTAAATTCAACTGTTTTTTTCAGTACTGCAGATTGTATACAGGGCCTTGCACATGCTAGGCAAGCTCTCTAGCTGCCACTGGGTTACATCCCCAGCCAGTGTCTCATTAAGTTACCGAGGACAGCCTCAAACCTGTGATCCTTCTGCCTCTGCCTCCCACCTAGCCAGAATTATAGGCATGCACCACCATGTCTGGATTATCTTCATCTTTTAAAAGCAGGCAATGTATTCACTTGGCTCAAAAGTCAAGGAATTGAAAGTATAAATGGTAGAAATTCTTCTTCCCACCCTCATACCTATCCAGTTCCCTTCCCATGAACAGCCACAATTCCCAGATTTTTGTTCTTCATTCTGGAGATATTTTCTGCATGCAAAAGCTAAATAAAATTTCCTCCCCAAAACCTACAGATAGTGGCATTGTATTGTACACATGTTCTACAACTTCCTTTTTTTACTCAATAATATACATTTGCAGATGAATCCATGTCTGTTTGTGAAGTGCTTCTTCATTTTTTCTTTACAGCTATGGAATATTTCACCATGGCTGTCCTGTTATTGATTTAAACCATCTCCTGTTCAGTGAAATTTAGCTTCTCTCTTGTCTTCACTGTTACAAATATTGTTGCCATGAAGATACTCATGCACATACCTTTCGTGTATCTATAAATATGGGTAAATTCCTAAAAGAGAAATCGCTAGTTCAAAAGATATTTGCACGCAAAAGTTTTGTAGATATTGTCGAGTTATACTTCATAAAAGTTACACCAATTTACACTCCCACAAGTAATTTATGATTGTTCTTATTTCTCAGCATCCTCAAATATTGAGTGTTATCACACTTTGGAATCTTTGTCAGCCTGATGGGTGAAAATGATACCTGGTCATAGTTTCAGTGTGAAATTACTTATCATGAGATTGAACATCATTTCATCTTTGAAGATTCACATTTCCTTTCCTTTCTGTTCATATTCTTTGCACATTTTCTGTTAGGTTAGTGGTCTCTTCCTTACATATTTTTAGGAACTCTATGTAGTATTATGGATTGAATATTTGCCTCCTTCAAAATTCAAGTTGAAATTTAATTGTCATTGTAATAGTATTTTTAAAAACTGGGTCCTTTAATTAGGGTCTACCTTCCTGAATAGGACTGGTACTGATATAAAAGGACAAGTTCAGGGCCCTCTCATCCTCTCTCTTGCCCTTCTGCCTTCTACCACGGGAACTATAAGCAACCTTTCCTTGCCAGATGACATCCCCTAAACCTTGGACATTCTCTGCTTCCAAAATGTGAGCCAGTAAATTTCTATTCATTATAAACTACCCACTCTTAGGTGTCTGTTATAGAAGCACAAATGGAATAAGCCATATAGTAATGAAATTGGTCTTTAGATGTGATCTGAGTTGCAAATACTTTCCCAGGGTATTGTCTTCTGATTTTGCTTATAGAGGGCTTTTAAATTTTTTTAAAAAATTTTTTATTATTGCCAATAGCAAACATTTTTTTTTGCTTAAATTCTTTTATTGGTACATTTTAGGTATACAATACGTTTACATTTATCATTGGGTGCTTATACCTGTACATGATGTATCTTGGTTCTTAATTTAAGGGAAAGGCAAAATTATGAGAAAAGGGAAAAATGGAAACAAAGTCTTTGTAAATAGGGAAGGGTGGAGGGGGTGAAGGGAGGACAGTGAATGGGGAAAAAATATAGAGGGCTTTTATGTGTAACTTTCCCTATATCTTTAGGTAATTGAATCTATCAATCTATCTATCTCTTTCAAGCCTCATAGGGTTTATGTCATGTCAAGAAAGGTCTCCCCAGTATTTGATTCTAAACAATTATCATGATTTATTCTAACATTTTATGGTATCTTTTTTACATTTAAATAAGTGATTAACTAGGCTTTATCCTGGAGTCAGGTGTGAGATCAGAGTTTAACTTTATTGTTCTTCAGGATTTTCCTTTCCATTTTAACTTTAGAATGAGATTGTTTAACTCTCCCCTGAAAAAAGAAAATCGTATCTGGATACTAACTGGGATGGCATCATCTTTATAATTGACACTCTCCACTACTGAGACTGTTTTAGTCATGGATCTCCCTTTCTAAAAGCATAGATTTCCATTTGTTTGAGCTTTCTTTGTGTCCCTTGGAAGTGTTTTGAATTTTTTAACATGACTTGTGCACCTAACAAATATTTATCCCATTGAGATATGTTACAATTGACAAAAGAAAGAAAGAAAGAAACCCCAATAGCTCAGTAGAAGAACAGCACATTTACCACTTACTCATTGGAAGGCAGGTTGGCAGGTGGATCCTTCATTCTGGGACTCAGGTAGCCACGGTCTTTCCAGCTGGAGATGTTGCTTTTAAACACATGGCCTCCAAAGTCCCTGTGGCAGGGGAAGAGAGCCTACCGGAGCCCCTGTCTAGAGGTGCTTCTTCCATCATTTCATTGGCCACATGCATCACAAGACCACCTACCATGACAAGGAAAGAGAGGAGGACTGGATAAGACTGACACTGGGAGTCATTCTCACATTGGCAAAACTATTAATTAAGCACAAGAGTAAACCGAAGAAACATTTTGGTCATACAAATTCTCAACACATATTCCTCCAAGGCATCTTTTGTTAGGATGCTAACAGAGGGGTGGGGTGCTCTGCCAAAATGAGGAAGCAAACCACAGAAGAAAATATGGAATGATCTTGACCCAGGATGAGTCAAAAGGAATCCCTAGGATGATGAGGAAGCCAAAGGAGTTCCCTGAATGAAGCTGGACTTGAACTGAAACTGTTTTGCCTAGAGCTGTGGCAATGGCCCTTGCCTTTGTAGAGGAAGGCCTACCTGAAAAGGAAGCAACAGAGAGGCAGCTAACCAAGAGCCGAAGAGCAGCACCATGACCAGATGATGTGGGCTGAGCAGCAGTGCCACGCCTGCCAGAAGCTGGACCTGTACTCACAGTTACGAAACCAACACCTTCCCTTCGTGGTTTAGTTTAGGTGCCTGGCTATCTGACGCTTGTAACAAAAACATTCCAGGCTGAGCTGGGAAATGACACAAATAGAAGAAATGAAGCTTGTCCTTAAGGAATTTTAAATCTTGTTAGGGAAATTTTATCTGGCATTAACTACCAGGTATGCTTCCTCTTCTTGATTATAGTCTCCTCAACGACTTTGCATTTTTTGCTAATTTCTTTGCAAATTGCCCCATTGCTAATGGGCCTGAGAAGCTGGGTAATTTCAGAAATGAAAACTACACTGTCTTGATGTTCTTTTACAGAAGCATTTGCTATTTAAGTAACATTTTTCCATGTTTTTCTTTTTAAGGAAATTAAGATTGAATGTGAGAATTTATTCAAAAGAAATAAATTAATGTGGCTATTTCCAAAGGTTTTCCTATAGGGATGTTTATCTGAGCATGGTTTACTACACACAGAAACCCTGGGAGGAAGTTAAGTCCAACATGGCAGAAATAACTGGGAACATTGTTCTACACATGTCAAGGAAAATGAAATAATTTCCTACAAGTATTTCTGGAATGGAAAGCTATTCATAGTTTATTACTAAGTGAAAAAAGTCAAGCAGCAAAGTAATTTTCTAGCTTTAGAAAATGTATCCACTTAGGGAAAACATTCAGTCCAGCGCCTTAGCCTGCTCAGACCCACTATCCAGTTGGGGAAAATATTTTAAATGGCAATTTGAGTGTTGTTGAAATTTCAGTGACATCTTATCTTCTTTTTGCATCTCTGTTTTCTTCATGTAGAAAAGATAGATCATGTGTACAAACTATGGAGCTTTACAAGCATTAGACATGAAAGTAAACTAAAGAAATATTGTGGTCTCGATCTTGCTGCTCTTTGACAAAAGTACTTACTATTAAAACACCTTAAGAGTATCTCATATTTTCTCTGTGAAAAGTAAGATTGAATTGTGAAAATTTCTCTCATACTCAATAAATGATATCACCAGGTAGTATAAATCATATCATCATAATGCAGATGAAGATTTTCTTTAAATAGTTGTTAATTCAGTAAGCAAAATAAAGTAGAAACATGAACTTTAAGAAATAATTTAGGCCTAAAGGTTGACATTTACCTTTCAGACCCTTTTCCATTGCAATATGATATTTACTAGGTTAAACTGTTAGGTTTTTACTTGCCAAACAAATAAGTGTCAGTTTCATAAAACAGTACTTGAAACAAAAAAATGTGTGTGTGTGTATATATATATATATATATATATATTCAATTGAATCTTGTTTATATTTAAACTAGAGTTCGAGCTGTAAGCCTAGAAAGGTGCTTATGATATAAATAAGCTGCAATTTAGATCTAAATTTAGATTTAAACTTGCCCAAATTACCCATAATGCTCTCAACTATGCCCCTAAATTGTCATAGGAGTAATTGTTCTTTAAAAAATTATTTTCTCCATCCTTCATAAATCTCATTAAAGATAATTGTTTTCCAACAACACCTACCGTGTCAAAAATGTTTGTTTTTCAGATCCATCTACTGGAGGAAATGCACAAACTTCTATTTTCAAAGTAAAAAAAGAACCAAAACAATACTCAGAATTTTATGGTAGCACCCAGATCCAATTGTTAAAATTAATATGTAAAAGGGAAACTATAGTACTTGCTGAATATTTAAAAACATGATTTACTATAACTCTATATAAAACATATCTAAATCCTAGGAAGATTTTACAATTTCACATGATGTATGAGCTACACATACTCAGTTTGCCTTTCATATATCAACTCACTTTATCTTCCTAAACAAATTTTAAAAACACCTTTCTTCTTTTGCCCTTTTAACGACAGTTTACAGTCATGGTACTCTAATGGCTGTTGACCTGGATTTGCAAATGTTAAGCTCTGAACCCCATCTTCACTTACATAGGGGTGGAGATATTTCACCACTAGATGGTACTATGCAGTAGTTATTAAATTCCACACTATTTAAACTTGGCATTGGCAGTGATCTCTTTTTTTTTTTTTTTTTACAAGGTATAAATCACTCTTAATACATTTTTGCCATTCCTATTAGCACTATCTGCTCCTCTCCTAACTTTAATTTCCCAAATCATCCCAGTAAAAAGGAATGAATGCCTTTGATTCATAAAAAAATCTCTCAGGTAAAGTTCTTTGTGGGCTTTTGATAAGTGATATTCATTCACTATTTTCTTTCACAATGAACTTTAAGCTAAACATTATTGTAAAGGAATGCGAACAATACTTTTCATAGCCAACTACACAATTTTTTTTTTTTTAAAAGACAAAGTAACATTAACAAAATTCAGGACTATGCCATTCTTCATGATGCATGTGGTCTACAGCTTTAGGCTTTTTAAATTTTTCACTGCTAAGCCTTGAATGGAGAGAATGTTTTTTAGTAGATAGGGTGAATTTTATCTTTATCAGTGTGGTTCGAGCATTGCAGTTCCTAGCAGTTTCTCTAATGGGCATTAGCACTGTGCTTAGTCACCCAGGAAAACACAATGATTTAAATCCAGAGAGCATTAGACGCCAACTTCACTCTGCCCTGCTAAATTCTGGCACTTTTCATTGAAAAAAATTCCAAACATATATGCAGAAGGCCATACCAATTCTGGTTTGTAATACCAAAACCAGTTTGATAAACTGGCAAGAATGATGATTCACTGAGGCCTAACTCAGTTCAGCTGTTAGCAACTTCATTAGAGCAAATGTTTCCCTTCAACCAATCCAGGATCTGAATGATTTTCATCAGATCAGACAGACGCAGGACCTCCTATAGATACCAAAAGCCAAGGATGTTCAACTCTCTTATATAAAATGAGATTGTGTATGTATAGAACCTACAACCATCCTTCTGTATACTTTAAAACACTCTAGATGATTTGCAATACCTAATGCAATGTAAATGCTGTGTGAATAGCTGTTACACTGTATTCTTTAGGGAATAATCATTAAAAAACTATGTATGTATATTCAGTGTAGTTGCAATATTCTTCTTCTAATATTTCCAATCCAAGTTTTGTTGAATCTATGGATCAAAGCAGGTGATTATGGAGGGCTTATTGTCTGGACAAGAATATATTAAATTAAACAACTGAAAATTATGTTTAAGTTAATACATCTGTTTCTACTTCTTTCATAAAGGAACACATTCCAGTAACAATTGATTATTCAGTTCAGTACCTTGAGAAGGAATTCTTGGCATATTTATAAACACAAATAGAAATAGAAATCAATGTATTCCTGTTTTAGTCAATTTCCTCATTGCTGGGACTAAATACCTGACAACTTAGAGGAGGAGCAGTTTATTTTAGTTCACAGATTTAGAAGTTTCAGTCCAAGGCTCCAACAACAAGGCAGAAACAGCAAGGCAAAAGGACTCGCCTCAGAGGAAAGCTGCTCATGTCCTGTGGCCAGGAAGCAAGGACAGAGGGAGGAGCCCAGGAGGACGAGTACCCACCCAGGCCACACCCCAGCGACCTGCTTTTTCTGACCAGACTACACTTCCTAATAGCTACATCACCCCATAATTCAATTACATTCCAACACATGAGGCTGCTGGGGCCCTTCTATATCTAACCCATAACACTTCCTGTTAAATTTATAATTATTTATAACTAGGGAATATTTATTCCCACTTGTAATTATTGAATAAATATTTATAATTAGGAAATAGTCCCTTGTTTTCTAAATAAAATCTTGAGCACGTGTTTATTTATTTACTTATTTAAATTTTTATTTTATTGGTACATTTTAGGTATACAATATAATGAAATTCATCGTTGGAAATTTGCACCTTTACATAATCTCTCTTGGTTCTTATTTT